CAAATGTATTTTTTACAATATTTGTGTATCTTGTTCGTTTTGTAATTACACATGGAGACACATATAAAACATGAAAGAAAACACACCTATCTATATCTGTTTATCTATCTACATATGCATAATTATGTACAATGTTTAAATGATCATGTTGCACATATGAAGTGGTTGAAAAGTTCTTAAGTTAACCAAAAGATTTTTCCAAAAATAAATTCTGACGTTTGGTCATTGGATCAGATCTTGTGAAATGAGCTGTGATGAAAAATTTGCAATATTCCATATCATAGTTGAACACACACACACACACGCACACACACGCACACACACACACATATGTGTGTGTGTGTGTGCTCATTTTAAATACTGTTTTTGAAGCCAAAATTGCTGGTGTTTCAGTGTTTTGCTGATAAGTAGGCATTTAAGGCAAGCAGGCTTTGTGGCAGAGTGCTCAATATTGAAGGTAGAGATAGAGCGTTAATAGAATTAATATGAACATTTTTTTTCACTTATGTTTACTTTGGAGTTTGTGGTTATATAGGTATAAGCATTATAAGCCAAGTTTAACAGTTTAACTCTGTTCTGACAAGTGGCTATACTTTTATGTTCATGAAACTATGAAGTAAACATGAGTTAAGTGAAAAAACTTTTCATTTGTCATATATATATATATATATATATATATATATATATATATTACAATTCTAAAGTTTGTAGCCATAAAGTAGTTGTGTTGTACTTTAAATAAGAGAAAATTATTATACATGATGAAAAGAAAGAAAAGTATTTTGTGATTAAATTTTACTCTTGTTAAAATGTCCTCCTTTAGCCTTGATTACTACACAATTTTTGGCAGTACAAGTTTGATAATTGATTCCATTGTTTTTTTTGTTTTTTTTTTTGAATGACTGTAAGAACTTTTTTTCATTTTTATTTTTTTTTTTACTTTCTTCTGTCAAGATCATCCTATGCTAATTCTGGGGATAGCTTCAAACTTTTGAACTGTAGTGTGTATATATATATATATATATATATATATATATATATATATATATATATATATATATATATATATATATATATATATATATATATATTCACACATATAAATGGGGCTGAAAAGTTTGTGGTCCAATAAAATAAATATTCTGATGTTTAAAAACAAGATTCTGATGTTTAATCCTTTGGTTAGATTTAGTTAATTGAAAATGTAAACCATTTTCTGGTCTTGTATCAAGAAATGTGTGTGTGTAAATTTGTGTATATGCCAGAATGGATTTCAGAAGTATTGAATGGCAATTGAGTTTCACATGTTTGTGAGTTCAATCCTGTTTGAGTGCTGCACTATAGTAGCCTTTTGCTAAACTTTAAGAAATGCCAATATGTCCATCAATATATATTCATATCTATAAAGGAGATTAATTCAAATGAATATTTTCATCTGCATCTTCATACATACAGATTTTGTTTATATAAATCAATGAATTTAACCTCACCTAGTCAAATGGTAATCATAGATTTCCCTGCAAAAAAGATTGGCAAATAGAATTTATTGGTAAGAAAACAGATAAGCTGTAATGAGGCAAATATTTATGTGTTCATAGATGAAAATGAAATTAGCCTCAATATGCACTGGGATCCTATCATGCTAATTGGGAGAACAAGGTAGAGTGATAAATAGATAGATATGAATGGAATAAAATAGATATATATGAAAAGAATTAGATATATAGATATGAACCAAGTAAAACAGATATCTATGAACTATGAGATAGATAAATACATATGAACCAAATGAGGGAGGTAGATACGAATAGAATTAGATAAATAGATAGAAATGGATAGATAGATAGATAGAAAGATGAGTTCATGGGGTTGATGCTGATAGATATGGATAGACTGACATGAGCGATAGGAATTCATTTAGATAAAGAGTTAGATATTGAACAGATATACAGATAGATAGATATAAACAGAATTAGATGGATAGATGGATACAGACAGAATTAGATGGATAGATACAAACAGAATGAAACAGAAAGATATGAGTTCATGGGGTTGATGCTGATAGATATGAATAGACTGACATGAGAGATAGGTATTTATTGAGATAGAGAGTTAGGTAATGAACAGCTTGAGATATATATATATATATATATATATATACATGCATACATACATACATATATATAAATAGGAAAAATAAATTTGCCATATGCAGCACATACACACACACACACACATTATATATAAATACTATATGTATATATCCCTACATGTAATCTGTATATATATTAAAAGAAAGAAGTAATGTAAAAAAAGCAGAATAGAACATGTCATTAATTTATATAGACTGATTTGTGTGTGTGTCTGTATATATATATATATATATATATATATATATATATATATATATATACGTACTTACACATCAGTGACAAGTAAACATAAATCCATACTTACCAATTCAAAATGGATAAGATCCTGTTGGCCATTGTATTTTCATCTTTAAAATTTTGCAATTGATTATTTCCCATTCTGATTTTTTCTTATCTCTATTTTTTGTTGAGGTTATTGATGTCGCATTGTTGAGGAGAAGAAATTAGAGAAGCCCATATTAGGATTGTTTTCCTTCAAGTAAATATATATATATATATATATATATATATATATATATATACACACACACACACTCACAGAGTTGATGAAAAGTTTTTAGTTCTCTCTACTTCTCAAAATCTGACTAATTGTCCAAGAAATAGTATTTGGTGGGGTATCAGCTCAGAATTTTTCAGCATGTACATATATATATATATATATATATATATATATATATATATATATATAGGTATATTTAGGCAGAAAGAATTCATCCAACAAGGTCTCACTATTTAACTTTTTATATCTTTCCAATTTCTGAATGAGGTGATGTACATCAGGATTGAAGTTATGAATAAATTGTCCAAGTTTCAGTTTTTTTTTTCTCTCTGTTATAATCAAATACTCTCAACTATCTCAGTCATTGTCAAGAACTGGGTGTTATCAGTGTGAGATGCAAGAATTTGGTAAACCATTAGACGATTTTAAAGATTTTGAGAATGGTTTATAGTTAAGTAAAAACACGTGGAATCAAAAAAATTTTGGACAAATTTTAAATTAATTAATTTCAGAATAGAAAACTCTTGTATGCATCATGGAAAGATGAAAAAAAGTAATTAAATCATCTTGTCAGTCTTAAGCTATTAAGTGAAATCTTGTATATAATTTCTATATTTTTATGTAAATATATATATGTCAAATAATTTATATAGACATAGATAAATATATACATATATATATATATATATGTAAAATAATTTATATAGAAACATGGATAAAAAAATATATATAAAATAAAATGATATAGACACTCATATATAGATGTATATCTATGTATATGTCAATGTACACCTATAAATCCATATGAATATATAAAGAGTGAGATGTTGGTGACTAAAGTTGAAATTCTAGCTATATATGCTACTAAAATATATTAATCCCATAATATTTAGATAATGATAAGTGAATATGAAAGTATATTTAGATACAAGACAAATATGGGAAAATGATTTATGCTCATTTGTGTAGTCAAAGAAACTGATGAAAACTGAAATATTGAAATGGTGCAGAATGATAAAAATTCTTAAAATGCTAACGGACTAAACACTGACAGGAGGTTATGGATAAGTACTTTGAAATGAGAGAGAAACAAATATTGTGAAATTCAATCAAGAAGCTTGAAAATAATTGTACCAACCTTTACTAAGACTTGAACCTGTGAGAATGACACGATCATGGTTGTCTGTACATGTCTATGACACATTAGCTTTTTGATTCGTCCTTATCAGAAATATCTTTAGTTAGAATCATAGCATCAGCTTTTGTATTAATGCTAGGAACTTATTTATAATCTGAATTGAATAAAAATGTATGTTTTATTTCTGGCTATTTCCATTTATTTATAATACACATTCACATGAATAAATAACTAGTAATACACACACATACACCCATATATATATATATATATATATATATATATATATATGGTGTGTGTGTACATATAAAAAACGAAAGAATGCAATACATTGTATATATGTTTATATTTTTTCTCCACATATATATAGATATTACATTTACTTTTTTATTTTGTAATTATTGGGATTCCCAGTGACAATATCTATATATTACTACATGTGTGTCTATCTGTTTTATATATATATATATATATATATATATATATATATATATATATATATATATATATATAGTACATAATGAATTACTGAAAATTTCTTGGCCTGATCCATTTAAAAAATCTGACCCCAATGACCAACATTGAAATTATTTTTGCAATCCCTTCTTGGTTGTGCCCCAAAGGAAATTTCATCACTTTGGCATATATATATATATATAAATAAAAATATATAAAAGACAGAGAGAGAGAAGTACAGAAAGACTGTGTGTATGTGTGTGAAAGATGAGGAAAGAGGAGGAATAAAAGGGATCTGGAAATAGTTGGGTACATCACAACAGACAAAAAGCTTTCAATGCCAACTGGGAAAAGCCTAAACATGTACAGTTACATATATAAGAATAGATATGTGCAGATATGTTAATGAATATAAACTCAGTTTGAAAATAATTTATCAGGGTACAAAAGCACAACATAAACACATACACACACACACAGACACACCATCATCTGCTCCTTCACACATACTGATATTATTAAGAACATCTTGCCATAGATGATGTTTGTAGATAAGTGCACATGAGTAAATGAACTGTCAGTATTATGAATCTTTTGACAGATGGAGATTGTCAGTTGATAGAGATTTCAACCACTTGACTTCTTTAGATTTTATAAAGAGTTCTATGAATTTTGACATAGAAAACTCAGCTTTTTAAAATAAATTTGAACTCCAACTACTGCTACTAGAGACCCTCTCATTATCAGTGTGTTCATGAGGTTGATGCTGATAGATAGATATGAATAAACTGATATGCGAGATTGCAATATATTTAGATAGATATGAATAAACTGATATGCGAGATTGCAATAGATTTAGATAGATATGAATAAACTGATATGCGAGATTGCAATAGATTTAGATAGATATGAATAAACTGATATGAGAGATTGCAATAGATTTAGATAGATATGAATAAACTGATATGAGAGATTGCAATAGATTTAGATAGATATGAATAAACTGATATGAGAGATTGCAATAGATTTAGATAGATATGAATAAACTGATATGAGATTGCAATAGATTTAGATAGATATGAATAAACTGATATGAGAGATTGCAATAGATTTAGATAGATATGAATAAACTGATATGAGAGATTGCAATAGATTTAGATAGATATGAATAAACTGATATGAGAGATAATGAACAGATAATAGGAACAGACTTAGATGTGAATTGACATTGAAAAACTTTTTTGCTAATGAATCATTTCAAAATCTCATGTAAGATTATTTGGTTAGATTCTATGAAGGTGTTAGGTTGAGAACTTTTCAGCACATCTTGGTCAATAAATAGATATAACTTAGAGAGATAGATACAAATAGACTGAGAGAGATAGATATGAATACATTCAGACAGAGAACGAGAGGTATAGACTAGATTGATACAAATAGACTGAAAAGGATATATAGACATGAAAAGACTGAAATAGATACATAAACAGATAGATATGAATAGACTGAGAAGGATAAGAATAGAGTGAGATAGATATAAATTGTATGATAAGAGCAAATATGATTAAATAAGACCAAACTAGAAGGATACAAAACACACACAGATAAATAAATATTAAGGATTTAAGTTGTAAATAGAGATGTAGAATAGAATATGTGATAATTTATATTGACATAAAATGTGTACGTAGGGTGTTTGCTTATACATACATACATACATACATACATACATACATACATACATATATATATATATATATATATATATATATATATATATATATTTTTTATTAGATTATGTATATATATATATATATATTATTTTTATTAGATTATGCATATATATATATATATATATATATATATTATTTTTTATTAGATTATGCATATATATATATATATATATATATATTTTTTTTATTAGATTATGCATATATATATATATATATATATTATTTTTTATTAGATTATGCATATATATATATATATATATATATATTATTTTTATTAGATTATGCATATATATATATATATATATTATTTTTTATTAGATTATGCATATATATATATATATATATGTATTATTTTTATTAGATTATGCATATATATATATATATATATATATGTATTATTATTTTTATTAGGTTATATATATATATATATATATATATATATATATATACATTATTTTTTATAGAAAAATAGAATATATGTTAAATAATTGTCAAACTTAATCCATTTTTATTTTATATATATATATATATATATATATATATATATATATATATATATATATGGATTAATACCACATTAAGATAATGTTTATAAAGAGAGACTTAAGCAAATTTATAACATAATAGAATCCAGTGAAAATACTTTTTCTGTAATCAAACAGATATTAGAAATGTTTTCTTGGTCACAAGGGGAACTCTGATCAAACTAAGAAATAGATAATTACAAAAAAAGTATAGATGGATAAAATAGATTTTGAAAAAACTGTAAAAGATGTTTTATTCTACCAATTGATTGAGTGAAGTATTTGCAATCATTTGTGAAACATAGGTAGTTGTGTGTAGGTAGAGGTAAATATATTTAACTAGTTAATTTTACACACACACACACACATATATGTCCATCCATACCTGTATAGACATATATCTGAAATGGAGATAAACAATGGATATATAAATAGAAAGATAGATATGAGGATAATTAGATATATAGATAGAGCGGTAGATAGACATGAAGAGAGATATAGATAAATAATGAGAATTAGATATGAATAGAGATAAATAGATATGATGAGAATTAAATAGTTATGAAGACAATGAGATAGATATTTATGATGAGAATGAGATAAATATATAAGAAGAGAGATAGGTAGATATGGAGAGAGATAGAAAGGTAGATATGGAGAGAGATAGAAAGGTAGATATGAAGAGAGATAGAAAGGTAGATATGGAGAGAGATAGAAAGGTAGATATGGAGAGAGATAGAAAGGTAGATATGAAGAGAGATAGAAAGGTAGATATGGAGAGAGATAGAAAGGTAGATATGGAGAGAGATAGAAAGGTAGATATGAAGAGAGATAGAAAGGTAGATATGGAGAGAGATAGAAAGGTAGATATGGAGAGAGATAGAAAGGTAGATATGGAGAGTATGATATAGATTGAAACAGAGAAAATGAAATAGGAGATAAATGTATGTATATAAATATATATTTATATATGATAAAAATATAGTTTTATGGTATGCTATATTTATGGGTAAAAATGGTCAATATCAGGGATAGAGCACATGTAAATATAAAAGTGGACACTGTTGTCAACACTGAGTGGTGACAGTCATTCATACTTGAATGTAATATAAAAATAGATACTGAAGAGTGGACAGACATGTCCGCCTACGAAACTCTGGAGTCGGGATGCTGGAGGTAACATCAATCAACTAAGTGACAAACATTAGCTCATACTAATCATATATATATATATATATATATATATATATATATATATATATAATCATAGTGGGAAGATTATGTTCAAGCATGAAAACAAAACAATCGGCATCAGTGTTGAACACAGTGTTCACTTTTTTATATATATATACACACGCACACACACACATATATATATAGGCACACACATACATGCACATATATATATATATATATATATATATATATATATATATATATATATATATATTGATGTGTGTGTATGTAGATAGAAATGTGTATGTGACTATGTAAGTAAGATGTTGATAAATATATGGGTCGTGCTGAAAAGTTATCATCCCAACTCACTTGCCAAATTCTGATTAAATGAACAAACATCAGATGGAGCGTTGGGCTTATTATCAGGCTGACAATTTTTCAGCACCCCCTAATAAAAAAAAAAGTAAATAATGAAATACTTAAAAAAGAGAAGATTTAAATAGAAAGGTTACTTTAAAGAATGGTAAGTGTCACAAATGTAAGCAAATTTTCATCGTACATTATGTGAAAATGCAATCATGTTTAAATATTTATAGAGTAATTAAGAAATAAAATAAATGAAAGACAGACTATTATGTCAAAAAACAAAATATACACAACGTTCCACACATGTACACACTTACAGATATGGACTGATGTACGTAGAGAGAAGTATTGGTGGAGATGAAAAGAAAATATTGCCCATTATTTTGGTTGTCGAAACTCTGTTGTTGTTGTTGTTGTTGTTGTCAGTGATTAGCTGAAGGGAGTAGTGGGTTAAATCTGTTTTGTGTTTGCTTTGTATGTGCTGCCTCACCCAGACCAGCAGAAGTTCACCTTTACAAAGTCCTTCCTTGCTTTGCTGTGTGCCTAAATAATCACAAAAGTTGTGGAAGCCAACAAAGTTTGGGGGGTCCTTTCCTCCCAGAGCTATGGAACCTGAATGAATTCCTTGGATTCAAGGAACTACTCAGAAGATGGGAGTGTGAGAAGAAAAGAAAGAGAAAAAAAAATTGAAGAAAAATAATTAAAGAAAACTTGCCGATATTTTTATTATTTAATCCTGTGGGATTGAACAGTAGGCCTTTAAGAAAGCAATTTGATAGTCTCACTACTCAGCTATCACTTACAACAAAAGTTCTGGTGTATAGGATATTTTTACAACTACTACTTTATGTACTGTGTCACATCAGGACGTAGGTGGTTATTGCTCTCCACACTTTCTGTTTTTTGTAGCTCTTAATAAATTTTGTCTTTTTTTTTTTTTTATATCTCCTAAATCTTGTTCCACCATCAGTTTACTCAAGTGCACTACAAAGGTTATGCATTGTTTTCTTCTGTGCTCCTTGCCTTCAGTCTGTCCTGTGAGTATCGTATTTTCCAAGCCCTTTTTTCCTCATTATGTGCCCTAGAAATTTCAGCTGTCTCTTTCTGATGTTAAGTATAAGTTTTTTTTTGTTTCCATTTTCTCTAGAAAAAAAAGAAAAATGCTTCTTTCTTTTTTCTGTTTCCTCTTTTATTGAGTTAAGTTTGATGAGGTTCAATGACCCAGCTGCAATTATTACTAAATATCATCATCATCATTATTATTATTATTTGTTCAAGCTGAATACTCAGTGTTCTAAGAAATCACCTTGATTATTAAAAATGTCTGTTTTTTTTATAGTCTAGGTGGATTTTACAAGAATAAAACTGACTCTAATGAAATGAACAGATTCATATATTTGTTTAGTATAAAACCACAAATGTATTTCAGACAAGCACCTGATTGAAGGCCAAAGGTCACAACAGCCAAAATGTTGTGATAACAACAAAAGTGAGGACAATAGTGAGCATGTATATAATGTCAATAAGAAAAATCTTTTTTTTTATTAAGTTATGTAACATGACAATGTAATTATTGACAACACCTACCTGGTAAAACACTTTGATTGAACAGCACAACTTATAGACCTAATTAAATAGTGTTTACCATCACAAATGACACAAACAAATTTGTTGTTCAAGTTTACAGCACTTTTGCAGAATAAATTTTACTAGTATTAAAAAGGAAATTTCCATTTGGGTTATTGTTAATGTGTCAGAGTATTATAGTTTTAACAAAACTTATAAAAAATTTTTAAAAAATCAAAAAGAGACAGTTGAAATTTTGAGATAAAACAATGAGGAAAGATAGCTTGGGGAATTTGACACTCACAGTGCATACTAAAGGCAGGCCACGAAACAGGGAATAAGCTACCTGACAAGCTTGTATAAATAGATGGCTGAATAGGGATTAG